AGGTTCCTGTGGACTCTGAGGGGTAGGGTTTGCAGTTAGGGATTGTTGTGCAGAGTGACATCCGGGGCCATCGTCAACAATGTAAGCAAGTTCCTGTACTCAGTCAGCGTTCCCAGAGTTTACAGATGGGGATTTCTTTAAAAAAAAGACAAACACACACACACATTTTTATTGATTTCAAAGAGGAAAGGAGAGGGAGAGAGAGATGGAAACATCAGTGATGAGAGAGATTCATGGATCGGCCACCTCCTAATACACCTCACTGGGGTTCGAGCCTGCAACCTGGGCATGTGCCATGACCAAGAATCCAACCATGTCTTCATGGTTCATGGGTTGATGCTCAAACCACTGAGCCACACCGGCCGGACCAGAGTATTTTTTCAGGTGTTCATGAAGGAAAGCACCTGAGCAGTCCAGCTGTTGTTGACCACAACCTTGAGCACTCAGGAAACGGTGCTGCTTGCGGTTAGGAGCCTCTGGGCAGTGTGGAGGCTATGCCACGGAGCCTGGCTCAGCCCTGTGCCACCAGCTGTGTGGCCTTGGGAGAGCCGCTGTCTGGGTTAGGATGTCACCTGACTCTGTGCATGCTCCAGTGTGAGGGTTTGTTCCATGGAAGAACAGATTCCACTTTAGAGGGAGCAGTTCACCCAGGTGAGTGAGTGCGTTGGTGAGGGAGTTGGCACTGTGGGGAGCTCCCCACCTATGGGGACTAAATATCCCCCCTAGAGATTATTTTGTTCTCCTAATCTCCCCCTCCTTCTCTACCATTTCCCACAGGGCTGCAGGCCGAGCTGGGCTGAGAGAGATAAGAGATGAGTGACAGGAAGGCCCATGGACAACCCCATGGTCCCAGACTGGCCTTCTGCCCTTCTTGCTGGCTGCCATTCCAGCCCCACTCTTGCCTCCCATTCCTGTCCTGAACATGTCTTCTGTCCCTTGGAGGTGGGTCCCTAACTTGCACCTATATATATATATTGATACCTCCGCAAACAAGTGTACAGAGCTGCTCACGCTGTCAGCCACCCAGAGGCACTGTGACAGGGCACAGGATATGTGATACGCTCACATACACATGCTTGCACACAAGTGCTGCCCTTGCCAGACCTCCTGACATGCAGTACTTCAGGTCACACTGCTAGGTCTCCACATACCGTCCTACACAGTCCTTGTTGAGCATCCCAGAAATGTTTATTGAGCAAAGGCTGTGCCCGGTACACATGCTGTCACACCGTCTCAGAACCACCCTGCATGGTGCACAATCTCATGAGCACAGCCTCACATGTTGCCTCAGCACACCCCGTGACACACATACCCCCACGTCCTCTCATACAGTCACTTGTGCCCTCTTTCTCACAGTTGTCTGGTGTCATGCACACCGTCTCTCACAACCTCACCCCCATGGTCACCACCTCACAGAGCAGCCAGCCACCACACACTGTCTCTGCCCATGACGTGTGCATGTACACGCCATATCATACACCCTGGTTGCTGTCACACGCGGTTTCACCTACTAATACACAATCATACTTGCACATCATAACCCACTATCGTGAAGTGTCCCACGTGCTGTCTCACACAGCCTCACGCCATCACCAGAGAACCACAGGCACCGTTGCACACCCCACCTACCCCGGCTCTTTATTCAGTCCCACTCAGACTCACACCTCCAACTTCAGGACTCTGATGTTTTATTTTACAAATCTTTGAAAGTCCAGACCAAGGGGTGGGGGGCCCAGAGGTTGGGTTGTAGAAACTTCTGGCTCCACGCGGAGAGGGGCCCTACCCCTGCTCTGAGGCCATGGTCTGTGTCCTCATGGGCTCAGTGGCGCCTCCACAGTGCTGGTGGTGGTGGGAGGCATGGGGCCTGTGGGGAAGGAGTCTGTGGGTGAACCCAACAGGGGCCCGGGGAAAGGCATGAGGTGGCTCACAGGCCCTGACAGCACCTCGGGGCCGGGGCCTTGGTAGAGATGGGCAGTACCAGGTGGGCCCAGTGTCAAGCCTGAGGCCACTTCCCCACAATTCCCACCATCGCTGCCCCCAGCCACCACCATGAAGCCACCAGCCGGAGCATCAGCTGGTCCTGTGCCTGCCAGACTCGACACTGCTTTCTTTTCTTTCTGTGATATCCTGCGTTTTCTAGTCTTTATAACATCGGTCCGCATGGTCAGTGGCCGGTTCACCTGATGAGAGAGAGGCCATGAGTGTTCACCAACCTCAGACTTTTGCCTCTGTGTCTCCCACCAGGGACACCCTTTCCACCCCACTCCTTAAGAGTAGGGAACTGGGTCAAGGACTAGGGGAGCAGGCCCCAGCTGTGGCACAGGTAATGCCCTAAGGAATCATGAGCTTGTGAGGCCCTAAGCAGGGGGAGCCTCTAACCATAGGACTAGCTGATGGCTGGAGGGGAGGGGGAAGGAGATGAGAAATGGAGGAGAGAGAAGGGAGCAGGAGGGAAAAGAAAGGCAGGGAGGAGATGAAGGTGCAGAGAAGAGAGGGGTGAGGGGGAAGGAGGAGGGAGGAGAATAACAGGGAGAAGAGAGGAAGGGAGTTTGGAAGAATACAGGAAAGGAAAAGGAGAAGGAAGGCCAGGTTAGTGGGATGGGGGTGCAGGGGGGAGGCTCCAAGAGGCAGGGCACACCTGGTGTTGCTTGTAGTAAATGCCGCAGGCATTGCACACGGGGTCTCTATTGGCATTCAGCCGCCACACTGACGTGATGGTTGTCTGGCAGTTGGAGCACTGGGCACCTGCCCGCTTGCTGACCTTCTGGGGGCAGCAAGAATGTGAGGGTCAGTGCACTGGGGGGACCCGGTGGAGGACCCAGGAGGTGAGGGTCAGGGTGCAGGCAGGGCTTCCTGGACAAGGCGTAGACTGAGGGTTCTCTAAGGGGCGAGGACATGGCCTCCTGTCCCGGGGCTTTCCAAATGGCGTGGGGGGCTTCATCAGTGGTTCTCAGCGTTGGCGGACATTGGACTCCCTTGGGGAGTCGAAAACTATCCTGATGCCCAGCCAGCGCCCCAGACCAAGGAAATCAACCCATCTGGGGAGGGCCCCATGGTGATCCCAGTGTGTAGCCAAGGATGAAAACTGCTGTGCAGGGAGTGGACGGCGTGCCTGCTTGCAGCCTGAGGGTGGGCTGAGGGTAGACACTCCTGCACAGAGCTGGGTCCCTGAATGGATGGGGCAGGGAGGGGGGATGTGGGTTCTCATAGAGTGTGAGGACAGAGATCCCTGCGCAGAGTGAGAACAGAGTACCTGGGTGAGGGGAGGCCGGCCTGGGCTCTTACCCGGCGCCTTTGGGACTTGTTCTGCCTTTTCATCATCTGACCATCGGCATTGCACAGCCAGCAATGTGGAGTGGCTCTCGCTCTGCAGTACCTATTCTTCCTGGCCTCTGCTGTGGTGGACAGGGGGGAAGAGGGACCAGGCTCAGCCCAGCTTTGCCTTGGACCCCATCCCCCTCCTCAACCTCCATGTCCCTTTGGGGGAACCTTACCACAGGTGGACAGGGGCAGGGTTCCAGGAAGGTTGGGGGAAGAATAGACCGCTGGACTGGGGGGGCTTCTGATTGGAGGAAAGAAGCTCCTGGGAAAGTCGGGGGGCCCGTAGGCACTGCTGGGGACAGGGATGGAGGAAGGCACTGCAGGTCCCAGTGCCAACAGGTCCGGACTCAGTCGCTCTGTCCTGAAGTTCTCTGGGAAGGTGCCTCTCCCATAGGAATCTTCAGAGGCCTGGGGAGGGGTGTAGTCCCAGGGGGGGCTCACAGTTGTGGGATGGTAGAGCCCCGTGTTGCCATAGGCCCAGCTGGTGTATGGTGAGCCTCTTAGGGTCCCCTCCAGACAGAAGAGGCATGAATTCACCTGGAAGGCTGTTTGGGGTGTGGATGGGTATGAGAAGGAAGAAAGAAGAGAACAGAAGGTCTGAAGCCATCCTGCTTTCAGGGTGCAGTGATTCCCAACAGCCCCACATGGTGGCCAAGCTTCCCACCTTCCCATAGGTTGCCAGAGCAGCTGCTGGCCATTGGGTGACTCCTGGGTCTGAGCCCCACTGGCCACTCTGGCAGCTGCAGTCACCTGCAGCCTTTTCCCAATGGGCTTTGAGCATAACTGTGTGGAGCCCCATGGGCCACTCAACTAGGGCCACCCCCACCTACTTACCATATTCAGTCCCAACGAGGCAGTCTGGGGATGTATATTCCCAGGTCTGCACATACACAGGGAACGTGATCCACAAAGCCTCGTGAGGGCTTCCAGCCATTTCTAAGATGGCCTCTTTGTTGGGTTCTACACTAGCTAAAGGTCTCCATGGCAACCCCAGTAACATGGAACCCTGCCGGAAAAGCCAGTGCAGCAGCTGCCTGCATATGCTCCAACTGGGGCTGGGGATCGAACCTAAACCCAGGTGCATGCCCTTGTCTGGGAATCAAACCCGAGACCCTTCAGTGCACAAGCCCATGCTCTCACCACTGAGAACACCAGCCAGGGCTCATTAAAGGACCCATGAGAGGTTCCTATGGGCCAGGCCTGGAAGTTGTGTAAGTCATTGTGCTCTCTCCATTGATCAGAACTGTCACATGTCCACCTGTCATTGCAAGGGAGGCTGGGAAAGTGAGTGAGTCAGGAAGAAAGGGAACAGGGTTGAAAAGCCTATAGCAGTGCCTGCTCCAGGATTCTGTGGACTCCCCAGAGCTATGCTGTATTATGTGGTAGCCACTAGCCACAGTCAGGACAGTGGCTCCTGTACAAGGTGAGGGCAAGGCTTCCAGACCAAGGCTGTCAGAGAGAGAGTCACATCAGGGCTTCCTACACAGGGTCAGGAGGGTGTTTCCAGAGGGCAAGTTTAGGGGTTCCTATGAAAGATCAGGTCAGAGATTCCCGAAACGGGTCAAGTTATGGATTTCTGTTGGAAGTCAGGGAAAGGTTTCTGCAGAATCTGGCTATAGGCTCCAGCACTGTTATAGGCTAGGCTTCCTGTAGAGGGTCAGGGCCATGGAGCCAGCACAGGGTTAGGACAGCAAGCCCTGTGCAGTGTCTGGGCAGGGGGTTCTGTGCCAGGTGAGGCTGTGGGTGCCTGTATAGAATGAGGTCTGGACTTAAAGTTAGGGGGTCAGGACAGGCGCCCCACCACAGGTTCAGGAAAGGATTTTACATGTAAGTTCAAGACTGAGGTTCATGTTGAGAGTTGGATCACAGGTTCCTGTGGACTCTGTGGGGTGGGGCGTGACGTAGGGATTGTTGTGCAGAGTGACATCCGGGGCCATCGTCAACAATGTAAGCAAGTTTCTGTACTCAGTCAGCGTTCCCAGAGTTTACAGATGGGGATTTCTTTAAAAAAAAAGACACACACACATATTTTTATTGATTTCAAAGAGGAAAGGAGAGGGAGAGAGAGATGGAAACATCAGTGATGAGATTCATGGATCGGCCACCTCCTAATGCACCTCACTGGGGTTCGAGCCTGCAACCTGGGCATGTGCCATGACCAAGAATCCAACCATGTCTTCATGGTTCATGGGTTGATGCTCAACCACTGAGCCACACCGGCCGGACCAGAGTATTTTTTCAGGTGTTCATGAAGGAAAGCACCTGAGCCTTCCAGCTGTTGTTGACCACAGTGAGCACTCAGGAAACGGTGCTGCTTGCGGTTAGGAGCCTCTGGGCAGTGTGGAGGCTACGCCACGGAGCCTGGCTCAGCCCTGTGCCACCAGCTGTGTGGCCTTGGGAGAGCCGCTGTCTGGGTTAGGATGTCACCTGACTCTGTGCATGCTCCAGTGTGAGGGTTTGTTCCATGGAAGAACAGATTCCACTTTAGGGGGAGCAGTTCACCCAGGTGAGTGGGTGTGTTGGGGAGGGAGTTGGCACTGTGGGGAGCTCCCCACCTATGGGGACTAAATATCCCCCCTAGAGGTTATTCTGTTCTCCTAATCTCCCCCTCCTTCTCTTCCATTTCGCACAGGGCTGCAGGCCGAGCTGGGCTGAGAGAGATAAGAGATGAGTGACAGGAGGGCCCATGGACAACCCCACGGTCCCAGACTGGCCTTCTGCCCTTCTTGCTGGCTGCCATTCCAGCCCCACTCTGGCCTCCCATTCCTGTCCTGAACATGTCTTCTGTCCCTTGGAGGTGGGTCCCTAACTTGCACCTATATATATATTGATACCTCCACAAACAAGTGTACAGAGCTGCTCACGCTGTCAGCCACCCAGAGGCACTGTGACAGGGCACAGGATATGCGATGCGCTCACATACACATGCTTGCACACAAGTGCTGCCCTTGCCAGACCCACAAAGACCTCCCGACACGCAGTACTTCAGGTCACACTGCTAGGTCTCCACATACCGTCCTACACAGTCCTTGTTGAGCATCCCAGAAATGTTTATTGAGCAAAGGCTGTGCCCGGTACACATGCTGTCACACCGTCTCAGAACCACCCTGCATGGTGCACAATCACATGAGCACAGCCTCACATGTTGCCTCAGCACACCCCGTGACACACATACCCCCACATCCTCTCATACAGTCACTTGTGCCCCCTTTCTCACAGTTGTCTGGTGTCATGCACACCATCTCTCACAACCTCACCCCCATGGTCACCACCTCACAGAGCAGTCAGCCACCACACACTGTCTCTGCCCATGACGTGTGCATGTACACGCCATATCATACACCCTGGTTGCTCTCACATGCAGTTTCACATACTAATACACTCTTATACTTGCACATCATAACCCACTATCATGAAGGGTCCCACGTGCTGTCTCACACCGCCTCACACCATCACCAGAGAGCCACAGGCACCGTTGCACACCCCACCTACCACGGCTCTTTATTCAGTCCCACTCAGACTCACACCTCCAACTTCAGGACTTTGGTGCTTTATTTTATGAATCGTTGATGGTCCAGACCCAGGGGTGTGGGGGGCCCAGAGGGTTGGGTTGTAGAAACTTCTGGCTCCACGCGGAGAGGGACCCCACCCCTGCTCTGAGGCCATGCTCTGTGTCCTCATGGGCTCAGTGGCGCCTCCACAGTGCTGGTGGGAGGCATGGGGCCTGTGGGGAAGGAGCCTGTGGGCGAACCCAACAGGGGCCCGGGGAAAGGCATGAGGTGGCTGACAGGCCCTGACAGCACCTCGGGGCCGGGGCCTTGGTAGAGATGGGCAGTACCAGGTGGGCCCAGTGTCAAGCCTGAGGCCACTTCCCCACAATTCCCACCATCGCTGCCCCCAGCCACCACCATGAAGCCACCAGCTGGTCCATCAGCTGGTCCTGTGCCTGCCAGACTCGACACTGGCTTCTTTTCTTTCTGTGATGTCCTGGGTTTTCTAGTCTGGATACCATCCTTCCGCATGGTCAGTGGCCGGTTCACCTGATGAAAGAGAGGCCATGAGTGTTCCCCAAACTCAGACTCTTGCCTCTGTGTCTCCACCCTTTCCACCCCACTCCTTAACAGTCGGGAACTGGGTCAAGGACTAGGGGAGCAGACCCCAGCTGTGGCACAGGTAATGCCCTAAGGAATCATGAGCTTGTGAGGCCCTAAGCCAGGGAGCCTCTAACCATAGGACTAGCTGATGGCTGCAGGGGAGGAGTAAGGAGATGAGAAATGGAGGAAAGAGAAGGGAAAGGGAGGGAAAAGAGGCAGGGAAGAGAGAATGGTGCAGAGAAGAGAGGGATGAGGGGGAAAGGAGGGAGGAGAATAACAGGGAGAAGAGAGGAAGGGAGATAGGAAGAATACAGGAAAGGAAAAGAAGAAGGAAGACAGGGCGAGTGAGATGGGGGTGCAGGGGGGAGGCTCTAAGAGGCAGGGCACACCTGGTGTCGCTTGTAATAGAGTCCGCAGGCATTGCACACGGGGTCTCTATTGGCATTCAGCCGCCACACTGCCGTGATGGTTGTCTGGCAGTTGGAGCACTGGGCACCTGCCCGCTTGCTGACCTTTTGGGGGCAGCAAGAATGTGAGGGTCAGTGCACTGGGGGGGGTGGCGGTGGAGGACCCAGGAGGTGAGGGTCAGGGTGCAGGCAGGGCTTCCTGGACAAGGCGTAGACTGAGGGTTCTCTGAGGGGCAAGGACATGGCCTCCTGTCCCGGGGCTTTCCAAATGGCGTGGGGGGCTTCATCAGTGGTTCTCAGAGTTGGCGGACATTGGACTCACTGGGGGAGTCGAAAACAATCCTGATGCCCAGGCAGCGCCCCAGACCAAGTAAATCAACCCATGTAGGGAGGGCCCCTCGGTGATCCCAGTGTGTAGCCAAGGATGTAAACTGCTGTGCAGGGGTGGACGGCGTGCCTGCTTGCAGCCTGAGGGTGGGCTGAGGGTAGACACTCCTGCACAGAGCTGGGTCCCTGAATGGATGGGGCAGGGAGGGGGGATGTGGGTTCTCATAGAGTGTGAGGACAGAGATCCCTGCGCAGAGTGAGAACAGAGTACCTGGGTGAGGGGAGGCCAGCCTGGGGTCTTACCCGGCGCCTTTGGGACTTGTTCTGCCTTTTCATCATCTGACCATCGGCATTGCACAGCCAGCAATGTGGAGTGGCTCTTGCTCTGCAGTACCTATACTCCCTGGCCTCTGCTGTGGTGGAAAGGGGGCAAGAGGGACCAGGCTCAGCCCAGCTTTGCCTTGGACCCTATCCCCCTCCTCAACCTCCCTGTCCCTTTGGGGGAACCTTACCACAGGTGGACAGGGGCAGGGTTCCAGGAAGGTTGGGGGAGGAATTGACCGCTGGACTGGGGGGGCTTCTAGTTGGAGGAATGAAGCTCCTAGGAAAGTCGGGGGGCCCGTAGGCACTGCTGGGGACAGGGATGGAGGAAGGCACTGCAGGTCCCAGTGCCAACAGGTCCGGACTCAGCAGCTGTGTCCTGAAGTTCTCTAGGAAGGTGCTTCTCGAATAGGAATCTTCTGAGGCCTGGGGAGGGGTGTAGTCCCAGGGAGGGCTCACAGTTGTGGGATGGTAGAGCCCTGCGTTGCCATAGGCCCAGGTGGTGTATGGTGAGCCCCTTGGGGTCCCCTCCAGACAGTAGAGGCATGAATTCACCAGGAAGACTGTTTGGGGGGGTATGAGAAGGAAGAAAGAAGGGAACAGAAGGTCTGAAGCCATCCTGCTTTCAGGGTGCAGTGATTCCCAACAGCCCCACCTGGTGGCCAACCTTCCCACCTTCCCATAGGTTGCCAGAGCAGCTGCTGGCCATTGGGTGACTCCTGGGTCTGAGCCCCACTGGCCACTCTGGCAGCTGCAGTCACCTGCAGCCTTTTCCCAATGGGCTTTGAGCATAACTTTGTGGAGCCCCATGGGCCACTCAACTAGGGCCACCCCCACCTACTTACCATATTCAGTCCTAATGAGGCAGTCTGGGGATGTACATTCCCAGGTCTGCACATACACAGGGAACGTGATCCACACAGCCTCGTGAGGGCTTCCAGCCATTTCTAAGATGGCCTCTTTGTTGGGTTCTACACTAGCTAAGGGTCTCCATGGCAACCCCAATAACATGGAACCCTGCCAGAAAAGCCAGTGCAGCAGCTGCCTGCATATGCTCCAACTGGGGCTGGGGATCGAACCTAAACCCAGGTGCATGCCCTTGTCTGGGAATCAAACCCGAGACCCTTCAGTGCACAAGCCCATGCTCTAACCACTGAGAACACCAGCCAGGGCTCATTAAAGGACCCATGAGAGGTTCCTATGGGCCAAGCCTGGAAGTTGTGTAAGTCATTGTGCTCTCTCCATTGATCAGAACTGTCACATGTCCACCTGTCATTGTAAGGGAGGCTGTGAAAGTGAGTAAGTCATGAAGAAAGGGGAACAGGGTTGAAAAGCCTATAGCAGTGCCTGCCACAGGATTCTGTGGACTCCCCAGAGCTACGCTGTATCATGTGGTAGCCACTAGCCACAGTCAGGACAGTGGCTCCTGTACAAGGTGAGGGCAAGGCTTCCAGACCAAGGCTGTCAGAGAGTCACATCAGGGCTTCCTATACAGGGTCAGGAGTGTGTTTCCAGAGGGCAAGTTTAGGGGTTCCTATGAAAGATCAGGTCAGAGATTCCCGAAACGGGTCAAGTTATGGATTTCTGTTGGAAGTCAGGGAAAGGTTTCTGCAGAATCTGGCTATAGGCTCCAGCACTATTATAGGCTAGGCTTCCTGTAGAGGGTCAGGGCTATGGAGCCAGCACAGGGTTAGGACAGCAAGCCCTGTGCAGTGTCTGGGCAGGGGGTCCTGTGCCAGGTGAGGCTGTGGGTGCCTGTATAGAATGAGATCTGGACTTAAAGTTAGGGGGTCAGGACAGGCACCCCACCACAGGTTCAGGAAAGGATTTTCCATGTAAGT